TCTCTCTCTCTCTCTCTCTCTCTCTCTCTCTCTCTCTCTCTCTCTCTCTCTCTCTCTCTCTCTCTCTCTCTCTCTCTCTTGGTCTTCTTCTTCGTCGTGGTCTCTTTTGCAGGTGCGCGGCGGCTTCTCCAACCTCCGGTCCGCTATGGCGGACTTCTCCTCGTGGCGGCCACCTCAGCTATGACGCATCACTCCCTGCACATGACGGCGCGCATGGAATAGCGGGTACCAGCTCCAATACCAATGCAATCAGACTCGCTTTCATCCACACTTTACATGCTTGCAAACAGTAGTGCAGCAAACTGGCGACATCCGCCCACTCAAAACTCAGAGATATGGCAACCCAGATAAGAGTTCACTTCCAATGGCTATGGCGTCTCAGGGCCCAAACAACTCTCTGTTCGCACACACCGGGTCACCCTGGATATCGCACATGCGATACTCTACACTCACACATACACACACACACTACACACTAACTCTAGCTATGGCGGCTATGGCCGCAACTACCCTATCGCTATGCTACGCTCCTTCTCTCTCGCCCACTTCAGCTTCGGGCCCACTGCAGACCTCCTTGCACAAGTCGCTGTGGCAGCGCTTCCGCATGGCTCACGCAGGAATGAATGAATGACTGGGCGCTGCCTCTTGATTTATACTTCTGAAGCTCGATGATCTGCCCTTTTCCATCGGCCCATGGTGCTCACAGTCCCTCGTGGTACTTGCTGGACCGGACTGGGACTGACTGGACCTTACCGCTGACTGAATGGGGACTCATTGCTAACCTACTGGGGTTGTACTGCAATCGCACTGCAGTTAGTCCACCACGTAACTCACCACTTGCCCACTTGTCGACCTTCTAGAAGGCTACAGCTAAGACTTCTAGACTTCACTAAGACTTCTATTCGACAGACCTACAGATCGAACCCCTACAGCCTACGGACCTATGACAGCCTACCAGTTGCTTACTAGTACACAGATCACGGGTTCAACGCTCGGGGTCTACACAGGTATTATACCCCGGTAAGGTAAGGGCTAGGGATCGAGCCCTGGGGTCTGCATCTGCTACTGCAAAAGGTGAAAACCGTTTCATGAAAATCGATTTGAAGAATATCAGCAAGAAGGAATCCACAGCAGCGAGTTTTCATAAGACGAATAGAAGTGTTATGATACAGCCGACCAGAACAGAGGATAGCAGGACGATTGAGAGTATATTCACAGTGGACTAAATCTTGCCCTGATTGTGGTCAGATACACCCTAGACAATCCTAGTGGGACGATGACCTGAAGGCTGAAACTCACATTTTACAAAGCAAGTAGGTTAGAGCAGTGAAAGTGACTGCAGACCATAACAAAGAATAGCAGGGCGATTGAGAACATATTTTTCAGTAGGTTCTTTCAGATTGATCTGGACCTCATTGTGGTCAGATAAATCCTGGATAATCCCAGTGAAGAACTGACCTGGAACTTCATTTTTAAAAGGGCCTTTACCCAATTCAGACCCTGTTCGGCAAATGCAGCATAGAGGGGTTACTCGCCAGGGCCCAACTCGTGAAAGCAGATCAAAGGACATGTTCTCTGGATCAAAAGTCACATCCTAGCTAAGTAAAAGCCAATGTCTAAGGTCACAGTTGTGCCCCTGGACGAACAGTTGCAACATTTAGATATAGGAGTCACATATGTTCATCCAGGGGGTGTGCAAGTCATGTCTGTTCATAAAGGAGGTGTGTCTGTACGTGCAGTATGTGTGTCTGTTCGTGCAGTATGTGTGTCTGTTCGTGCAGAATGTATGTCTGTACGTATAGTAGGTGTGTCCTTTCAAAAGGAAGTCAAAAGGTTGAGTCCCAGTCAGGATTCCAGTCAAAGGGAAAGTCCAGATTCAGGTTGAAAGTCCGAAATTGAGGCCTGAAGGCCGCAGCAGCAGTGGACCCTGAGGAAAAGGAACTGTGGCACACAGCACAGAGGCTGGGACTGGGAAAAGGACCAAGAAAGACTGTATTCAGACCTCGCCAGGGGAGGCCAGCACTATAAGAAACGAGACAGCCTCCCCACAAGGCAGATCCCCATGTGCATAAATGCGTGGAAGTGCTGAGGCACTTGTGCGCTAAGGTGCAGGGGGGAAGCGCTGGCTGAAGAAGAAGCTGCGCCAGAGGAAGGGAAACTGCGCAGGCCGCAGCAAGCCATAGCTGCGCCAGGCAGAGCTAGTGTTAGTAAGTAGTATTAGCAGGGTTAGTGTTAGTACATCAGCGAGAGGCATTCTGAGTAGATCCCTGTAGACAGGGAGTGTGGATGTAAGTAGAGACAAGAAGAACCGGGGCAGAGATCTTGGGAGAAGAGAACAAGGGAGAGTGAAGACAGGTGGAGACATTGGCTATGGTGGGAACTTACCTGTTGGCGCCATTCTTGAGATCTGGAACAAGCGCTGGCTAAGCCAGGCTCTGTATGTATGTTGGAACAAAGGAGAGACCTGTATACTCTGGGCGCTGGACTCTTGGATTTGAGAAACTCTTGTATAACGTGATTTTTGATAATATAAGCTGCGCTACTTGGTTCTTCTCTCATCTCAACTTTGAGCTTTGTGTGAAGCTATCCTATCTGTGTTTGGTGACATGTGTGCATG